TTTTTTTTTTTTTTTTTTTTTTTTTTTTTTTTTGGACTAACAACAAAACAAAATTTAAGCAAAAGAAAAATTAACTGAGATTAATTGTTTGTTGTTCATTAAAAGTGACAACCCAATTATTAAAGTGCTAATTTTTGCTCTATCAAACAAGACAAACTAAAAATTTTCATTTTTATTTTCTTTTTTCTTCCCGCATTGTTTTTTTTTTTGGTTATTCAATGGTTAAACATATTCGACGTAATTTGACCTCAGAACGTGCTGCAATTGTTGATGGTCGTGAAATGGCTTCGACCAAATCCACATTTGCTGCTATTACAGTCGGCGGTTCAACATCCCGAAGTTGTGAACAAATATGATCCACTTCCAACAGTGTACCCAATACCATTTCATCGCCAACTGCAACCGGTACTGATTGCCTTAATTCCACTGGTGCAGATTCTGCACGTGACGACGGACTAGACATCTGCGCATCGTCACTGAATTCTTCATCTTTTTCCGACGTTGCCATCGACGGTAAATCTGCAGACACCGATGCTGCAGACATTTTTTTAATGAAAACATTCTCATAGGTGCTACTTCGACGTGGATTCCGTTGACGACCAGTTTTATCTCGATCTGGACGAATTGCTGTAATTAGAAAGATTGATTAAACAAGAGGAAATAAAAAAGAACAAATTTCTATTGACTATTATAGCTTTAAAAAAAATAAATATTTCATCTTTGTTATTAAATTTTTTAACTTCTAACTTTTTGGTCATAAAGTTTTAAGTTTTTTTAAAGCCTATTCATTAATTTTTTGGCTGCTGTCTATGCTGATAGATGGCTACAACTAAAAGGGTTCAAATAAATCAAACTTAATGGTTGTTTCGTTTTCAAGCAAAAAAGAAAGAAAACCATTCAAACAAAACTTTTTCTTTACAGCTTAAAACGAAAACCTAAAACTTCTTTTTTCTCATTGTTCCTTTTTTTTATGTTTGAATAAAAGAAGTCTACAATGGAAAACTAAGAAACAAATTATAACTTTTCTTTTGCTATCTTTTTTAATCTAAATTCTTTCTTTTTTTGAACTTAAATATGAAGCAAAAATTTCCAGCTGATTAATTTGGTGCTGCTAACGACGGCTTATTCAAAACTTGCTAATATTTTACAATATGAATATCAGTGATAGTGATCTTTGCATTTTTTTTTTTGATAAAAAGAATGTAACATAAAAATTTTATGTTTGTTTGGAGAGCAAAAACCAAAGTTTAACAACTCAAAACATTCATTATGCAATTTTTGTGACTGCTGCAAAACTGACAAACCGATGTTCAGAATGAGCCCAACTAAATGAACTTAAAGAAAAATCTAGCAAATCAACCAACCAACTAACCAACTAACGAACTATCCAGCAAAAAAAGCTTAAGGATAGAACAGAAAAGACAAAAACTTGAAGCCGAAAACTGAAAGCTAAAGCCTCGTCCCCGCTCAGTTCTTTCTCCGCTAAAAAAAGTTGGCAAGAAAAAAGTTTAAATAATCACTACATAAAATGCAAATTTTTCTTCCATTTCAGCTTTTTTTTCCCCGTGATGAAGTGATAGAAATATCATTTCCGATCCGTCGGTTATTGAACTTTGGAACGGTTTTTGCTTTTTCACTTCCTTCTCTCCCCAATTCATCCTCTCAACACCGCCATACGCTGTCCTTCCATCGCGTGTTCTTTCTCTTGATACTCCTCATAAAAAGCTCTTTTACCCCGCTCCATTCCGAAACCGCTTAGTTTTTCCCTAGCCTTCCTGATTAACACTTAAAATTACTGAAGGACAACTGAACAAACGCAAAGCAAAGCAAAGACCAAAAGAAAAGTAGTACACGCTCGTCCTTTATTTTTTTTTCTTTGTCTATGTTTGTTTGCTAATCGAAATTGCAACTAAATACACCAAAAGAAATACTTTTCGCCAACTATCTTTGCATTATTTCCCTCACGAAAAGACAAGTACAGAAATAAAGAGCAAAAGCTTTGCAGCAAATTATCTTACATATTTTTTACACCATCCACACGCACAGTGAAAAATAAACATAAATATAAATATAAGGTACAAATAAGTAAATAAATAAATAAATAAATA